CTTGCTTTTATTTGTCAGTACAGAATATTGTAAATTAAACTACAGCTTAAATAATAGTAGACGTTCCTTGTTTTGTCAGAAAACATCACAGCTCATTTCGACACGGCTTTTCAGTTTTGTAACCGGCCAAGGCGAAAGTAAATCATGCAGTCGGGAAAACGCACTGATCTGAAAGAAAACGTCTTACTTTGAAAAATTATTGTGCAAAACATACTCGTACACACAAGAATCAAAAAAATACAAATGTTGAATTGTTATTGTCAACTGTCAAGTTCAGTTATTTTAGACAATATGGTGTTAGCCAATCAGAATGCAGAATTGAGCTGCCCAGACCAGGGCTTCCTCGTTTCTCGCCTCGTCCTCACACTGAAGCGTTGGGGACGAGGTTGGTCTGTAATTCGATCATACTTTTTCTGTTTTCTTGCAATAGACAATGATATAATGCGAAAAATTCCGTGCACCTTAATTACGAGTAAAGGTTCAGACATCGACGAAAATATTGCTAACCAAAATCGTGCTACCCGTACCCGTACACCGAAACAGGAGAATCTTAAACTCTCTACTATCAGGACTGTGAGCGGACATTACAATTAGACTTGTATGCACATGCAGTAATAAAAATAAAGGCATCCACATTTATATAAACATTGCAGAAATCATATTATCATACATTTCGACATAATATATTTGATGCTTCTAGGAAACGTTCATGGGAATTTAAGGAAATTTCACAAAGAAAAGAGGGAATATGAATTTCAATGTGGAAGTACCGGATTAAGACAAATAATGAATAAAGTCGAACCAGATTATGAACAGAAATTGGGGGAGGACGAAGCTTGTTGACATTTGACAATAAAGCAATACTAGTTTATTTTGAAATGAGAATGTGCCAATTGAAAACTTATAAGACGCCAATATTTGCTTGCAACATATAATTACATTTTTTCCATGCACGTCAAGAGACAAAATAGTGGATTTCATACATTGATATATATATATATAGGCAACCCACTAGGAAGCTCGGTGAGGATAATTATCTAATGCATTCTAATCCACTGCTGTGCACGAATTCAATCTTATACATTTATATCCCTTGCGCAAAAAATGAAGAATTTGGTTTCAATCGGAGAATAACGTGAGATGCAGTGTGCTTTCAAAGACTGATTTCCGGGTCTTGCAGACAGTGATTTTGTTTTAGTTGAAGCTAAACTTACTTGTGGTGTAAAAATATAGTAAAATACATTACTTACTCCTGGATGTTTACTCCTTTTTAGAAGTGCAAATTAAGGGGTAAATATGCAATAATTACACCGGTATATACCTAAGATTGAACAGGGCCGTCGCTATATATACTTCAGATTGTACAGGGCCGTCGCTATAGGGGAGAGGGAGGGAGGGGTGACAACCCTCTGAAAACATCCGGTCGGCAAAAAAGTATTTATCGGCAAATTGTTTTCGTTGGCAGCGAAAAGGTAACAGTTACAGAAGGTAACAGTTACAGAAACAATGTTGATAAATTTACTAAAATGTTACCGACTGGAAAATCGTATCGCTATGTCCGGAACTTTTTTACCTCAAGCCCCACCTTCCGCTTACCAACAATTTTGGGCAATGAAATATTACTTAGCGACTGAAATGTTCTCGGCGAATGCGATACTACAGCCCCCTCCGCCAACCGTAGTTTTAACTCTGGTTTTGGAGTGAAATATACTCTAATTATTTACTTGCAAAAAGGGAGTTCTTTCTACCCCTTACGGTGGAGTTAAAATAACTCCCTAGAATTAACAGTATTCTGTATCGAATAGACAACTTAGACTAATTTTTGACTTAGGAAAAAAAAGAACATATTAAATCAGTATAATTGCAAAATTTGGTTATAAAACTGAAATGTTGTAAAATAGAGACTAAATATATAGCCTTGCGAAGTTTGCATATTTTCAGTATGTTTGTATTACGTGCGGAAATTGTTACCATTTTCGGCTCAAAAATGGTGGGTTTGCGATACTGCGAATATCGAACTGATATACTATCGTTGCGCTCGTCAGCCTCGTCGTTGCGTATATAAGTGAAAAAAGACAGCATATAATTTCAGTGTTGTTTTATTGTGTATTAAAATGTTTAAATGAAGAAGAAAGCAAAGTTATTTTCATGCGAGAATTTGAAATCAGTTTATTTCAAACTCATAAAAAGCCGAATAGTTTTAAGAAGATTTTAAAACATTTTGCGAAACGTTTGTGGTTGAATTTTACATTAGATTGAAGCTTATATTATATACGTATAATAATATACTAGCATATATATGTTTGGGAAATTGATAATTTTGTTATTGAAAGTGATATTTTTACGGATGTTCAAATTTAGAACTATATACTTAAAATTATCGTGTTACCATGACAACTACTTTCTACTCTTCACATTCAGAAAACATAATGTTTTATCGGTATAGCGAGGGTTTCTGCATGCATGTATTTTCTAGTAGATATAGAATGCGTGCTGATGACGAATCATGTCTCCACTTTTTCACCGTGCGTACGTGTCCTTTCGAATGCGCCATTTTGAATTTTGGCTAGGAGTGCAAACTACAAAGTATAAACAAAGCTAAAACGACGTTCTCATCGTCAAAACCTTTTGTCTTGTTATCTAATTTGTAGTTTGGGATAGATTTTGAGTTCCTTGAAGGCACAAACTGTCAAAGCAAATGTGCAGTTACAAAACGGTGAAAATCGTGCAGCCTTGTACAAACAAAGTAGTTTCGCGAAAATATAATTTACTCATAAAATATTTTTGCATGCTCTGAACGTAACTGTTTTGCTAATAGTTTATAAGATTACAAAATGATAGTTCTTTCTTCGTCGGGTTTCGTTTTTCTTCGGTGTAAACAAAGTTTTTCATGTTCTTGCATGAAACAAAAATATTTAGTTGTCGATAAACAGTAAATTGCTCAAAAATAATCGATCGTCGAAAACTATGTTTTCAAAGGCGTTGCCTCACTCAAGGAAACGTAGAAAAATAGGAAAGTAATTGTGTAAGTTTACAAATATTGTTTAACTCCATTTATATTATAAAATAGTTGAAATATTTGTAGAACATACCTATTGAGTTTGTCTTCATCTTTCGTGTTTTGTTTTGGCTTGCAGAACAACGTAACGTTGAAAATGTCTTTTTTAAACGACGATTTCTGCATAATATTATATTCTGTTCAGAACTATTGCTTTTCGTAAAAATGCCCACTGGAATGGGTTTTTAGACATTTTTTCCATTTTAAGTCTCGATATAAAATTTTTTGCAAACTTTTCAGTTGAAAAACAATTCGCACTCCCTGCAACCGCGCGAAATTCCTTGCCTCAGGAGTCTGGATCCAACCAAGATGCCCTTTTCAATGCGCCATTTTGTGGAGACAATTTTTTTACTGAGAAAAGATAGGAGCACACATTCTATGTCTATTATTTCTATGGGAAGAACATATATGCATCTGAAAGGTTCACGTCGGAAAGGCTCAAATGTTTTAATGCTAAAAATCGAGTACGAATTTCATTCTTTCATTTAGACCTAACTAGAAATACATGCATGCAGCTACACCTGGCCTGTGTTCTCCAAACATTGATTTAACATGAAGTATTAGTAAATGATCAGCACTGACGCAGGCTTGCGTTTACGTCAGTGCTGCAAGAACGATAATTTTATTATTTAATTTTTCACGATTAATTCATGAAAGATTATTGCCGAAATATGCAGTGTAGGTAATGTCAATAAACAGTTTTTACTTAATAAATAAAACCAAATTAGTTCAAATTGTTGAGTTGAATGTTAGGTTTTCGAATTAATTTGCTTTCCTTTACATTTTACCTTTTTTCTTAAATTAAACAGGGTAAATTAGCAAATTTTAATACAGCTTCACTATGGCATGTTTTACGCAATAAATTAAAGCAACAAAATACGTAAACATTAAATATTCAAAGCAAACTTGCCCTATATTTCCAAATATATGCTTTTGAAAATTGAAATCTTGCTTATCCCACTCCTGGCAAACAGCCATATTTTTCAGATCAGTGAGGATGTCCACCCCCGGTTGGCCACCAACGTCCGCGATCATTGATGAACTTTACACTTCCCCAATGCTTCTTTTCCCCCGGGTATAAATAGCCGGGAGGAATTAGTACCCTCTCCACGGGCTAACGTCCACTCCGAGCCGTTGGCCTGGGGACCATGTATAGCCGCGAAAAGCAGGCTAGCAGGAATCGGCCCTGCGGATTTCGGTGTACCGCTCTGACCAACTGAGATTCCGAACAATCCAGTTCTAACAACAATTCCATGTATATATGCTAAAGTGATGCCATTATAAGGTGTAGGTAAATATGGTTGACGATTCGTTTCAAAATTGGTTTATGATACATGAGCTCAGATCGAATGTATATTTTCTCACTGATCATTTTAAACGCGTATACACGCGTTTTTTGTACGCGTATACAAGCGTACTTTTTAGCCCTTTGTTTCATTATTTTACTGTAATTTTATCCCGGTTTGCCGGGCTGAAATTTCATCCCGGGCTGAAAACCTCCATGTAATCGGCCCCTTAAACGCGAGCCTGCTACGAATGTTCTCGGTTCAGGGGTTAATTGACCTGTTCAAAGGTTAATTGACCAGTAACGAATTCATTGTTTCTAGCCCGGCTCTCATGTGAATCCAATCTCAAAAAAAACATATAAAACAATATTATACAGGTACGAGACGAGATCTCGCTACTTGCAAGTCACGGCCCGGTTTACCTTAGCATGCTAGCTTTTGTTCAAATGCATTTGCCATTTGTCACAATAAATTTGTCACAAATTTGTCATCTACACGAGCAAAACATCTTTAACATATGAAATTTTTCAAATAAAATTTGCTCGTGTAAACCGAGCTTTATAGTTGGCGTAAATCTGAACGTTATTTAAACAATGCCTTGTCTCTCATGCAGGCTTTTCCAGATTTTAGGGGAAACGGAAATGAAGACAGCTCTTCCTGCTTGTGTTTATTTTAGAATATGAGAACGATTTACCACGCCTGATGGCCTTTACACGCATTTTGATGTAGATATAGAACATCAAATAGGAAAAACAGGACGAATCATAGACTATGTGAGAAGGAATTTTGTGGTTAAACAACACGTGTGAACTAAAATGTTTTGCTCCTAATTTTAGATTAGGTTTGCCTTTCCGTAAAGCACAGTCTGTATAAAGTATATATAAATGTGTAATGTTACATATTGTCGCTTGTGCTCCAAGCAAAAGAGAACAAGGAAAAGAGAGCTGTGCATTTTCTTCCTTCGGCAATTCTATCGGCGCATTTTAAAATGAAAGGCGTTTGTTTTCCATTGAGCTTCATTTGGATCGATTGGCTCAACCATAGTTCGTTCGACAAACGTGGTATTATCTTGATTATCCACGATGATGACAGTATTCGTCCTATAGAAAGAGAGTAAGCATTTTTGTCATATGCACGAGTAATAAAAACATAAATTCTTGTAGTTTGCCTTACATGAACGGCAACTACTATTTACTGTATAACAAGTCTGTTTTCTTCACTAAACCTTGTTTTCGCTGCGCTTTTAAATTTTAGATAATGTTCATGCATGCAGGAATTAAGAGCGGTGTATTTTTCAGATTAAGGGGTGGGGGGGGGGG